AAGAGAAAAAGAGAGAAAAAGCAAAGAGACCACAGAGAAAGTCCATGGGAGAGAGGCTGGCAGCTTGGACCAGAGTGGTAGTGGGTGAGGAGGCAACAGCAAGAGCTCAAGACTGAGAACTGTTTCTAAATAAAACTCCAGCCCACAAGAGCTTGTGAGAGCTGTAAAGATTTTTAAAAATCAAGGCACAAGGCCAGGCATGGTAGAGAGTGGTAGAGTAGGTTAGCCATGGCTCAACTCCTCACACATGCTGCTAAAGAAACCAAGGCCAGCTGGTGTAGAGGCCTACGGAGGACCAGACGGAAGAGGACACAAGCCACACACCCAGAGTCCAGACAGCAAGATGGACACACAAAGGGAGCAAGGAACATCGACACTCATGTGGCTCCCTCTAGCCATCTTGTTTGTCTACTTCCAAGAGACAGTGGAACTTCAGCGCGTCTCCACAGAAAGCAGCAACTGACCTCAGCTGCAGCAGCAGGGAGACAAGGGAAGAGAGAGGACCACAGTCATCAGCGACGCATGTACCCACTAAGAGGCTGACAAGCTCAGCTCCACCTGCTGCTGTTCCACTCTGTGGGTGAGACAACTTTCAATATAAATTAAAAGGCCAGATTTTTGGGTGAAATTGCCTCATTTTACAGTGAATTTTCTAATTGCTTCTGGAGAACAGGAACACTATAAATTTATGTATATTGATCTTGATATAATTTCAGCCTCTTTCCTATTATCTATCTCACGCTTTGAGATCCTTACATCATTTACAGTGGCACCTAGGTTCACAAACTGAATTTGTCCTATGATTTGGGGGAAGATGGCTGTTTGTGTTTGTGTTAGGAAGACAGTCTTAGTCGTGTTTGTCACCTGATGTGGAATTTGCAAATGGAAGCAAAATTTTGCTGAATGCTTTTGTTTGCAAACAAGTGTTTCTGAACAAAGGTATTATTGTATTTCTTTTTCTTGTCTTATTGCTCTGGCCAGGCCTCCAAGGTAATGCTGAAGTCACAACAGACAGCATCTTTATCCTATTCCTGATACAGAGGAAATATATCTTACATTTTACCATTGCATATATATATTTTTTCTTTTTTAAAAGATAGGGTCTCACTACATAACCCAGGCTGGCCTCAAACCCACAGCGATCCTCTTGCCTCAGCCTACAGAGTGCTGGGATTACAGGTATGTGCCACCATACCTGGCTTGCAATAATTTTAAATTTCATTATTTTTATTTAGTTTTGCACTCGTCAGGGGTGACCTCTGGGCTTTGTACATGGGAGGCAAGTGCTCTACCACTGAGCTAACCCTGCAGCACAAATTTTATTATTTTTAAGTGCTGAGTCAGTTGTTTTTCCAAGCATCGTGTTATCTACTGGCTGGAATCAATACGTGGGCTGCAAATTTGTGATCATGGTATCTCCCCTGCCATGTAAGTATTGGGCTGCAAATTTGTAATCTCTGTTTTCCTGAATTATTTCCCTTAATTGCAGCATAAACCTCATGAGGTCAGTGCTATCGTGTTCTCCACTGAAGTAAGAAAAACTCAGGTTCAGAAAGATGAGGTTACTTGACACAGTCTAGAAGATCGAAGCTCTGCCCGATGCCAACGTCCATCAACTTTCTGGGGCCGAGCAGGACCCTGGAGGCCGAAGCTGACTCCTCCTTTACCCCATCCAGCATCTTCTGGTTCTTCCAAGGGTCCTGGAGCCTCTGTCACCAACTTTCTCCGACCCCTTGCCAAGGATCTTCCCCTCTGTGGGTCTCAGGCTCCGAACCTGCTAACCCAAGGGAACCCCGATTTTGTCCCAGATTCCCTCCCCGTAGTTTTAGTCAGCATCTGTTGGACACCAGCCCTGATTTGGGCCTGCACCTTACTCTGGGCATCTGCTTCCCTGCTTAGACTTCCTAACTTTTATGCACCTTTTGCCTCATCTAAGGAGCATAGGCGCACTCACCTGATAGCGACATGAACAAGTTGCTAGTGTCCATTACACGGAGAAGGCTTGCAGAACTGCCGATGACCATCACCTACCTACTCCTCCCAAATCTCAGTCACTCTGGACTATTTGCCAGCCCAACCTCGTAGTCCTGGCTCATACCCTGCTCTTTCTTGGCTGCCTTCTCCTTCCTACCCACTCGTCAGAGCGCTGCAAGCCAAGGCCCAGCTCAAACACTGTCCTTTCTGGGGAGCCCAACTGGCCCCACCCAGTCCCTCCTCTGGCCTTTCTGCAGACTCAGACACTCACAGCTCTCGCCCTCCACAGCCCACAGAGGTCTGAGGGACATGCCAGCCCGCAAGGAGCCCAGTCAGGCAGCTCTGCTGTGCATCAGTTTCTTGTCCTGTAACAGTAGCATAGACTGCAGGGGCCTCTTCCCCTGCCCGCCTTGCCCCTACCTGCTCTGACTGGCAGTAGAAGGTGGGAGGTCGGGACAGGATGGCCACACAGAGGCCGGCCTGGGTGCACTTCTGACTTCTGTCAGAGGTTGTGAATCCAAAGGACTGGGGTTCACTTAGGATCCTGAATTTTCACATAAGAGTACAAACCTCCTTCCCAGGGTGCTCAGAGAGACCCCATAGTCACCGACCTGGGGGTACCTGCTCCTCTGTATGACTCTCCAGGGCCAGGCTCTGATACACCTCAGCTCCCCTTGCTTCAGAGGGGACCTGCTGCCACCTGGGGACCAAGAAAGGAACTGCCAAGACCGGGACCAGAGCCATCTGGGCACACACAGTGATAAAAACTTTATTGAGCACTTTCCAAGTCCCAGGCACCTGCCTAGTCTTTTGCACATTTCATCACACTAGATCCCCAAGGTAACCCTTGGAGGTAGTACAACTGTAAACCCCACTGTACAGATGAGGTACACAGGGCTCAGAGAGGTGTGTGACCCTTGCCTAGGGTCACACAGCAAGTACATAGCAACCAGGATTTGAAGCCAGATCCGGCTCCTAGCTTTCCCTAACCATACTTCTTGAGTGCCTCCTAGATGCTGACCTCACAGAGTTGTCTATGGAAGCAGTGAGGAACCCAAATGAAGATCCGACAGATAAGGACTCTGTTCATATCCAGCCTCCAGAAGAACAGCTTGACTGGAGGCCACTCAGGCTGCCTGCAGGAGGGGTGAGTGAGACCATCCTGTCTTCTCCTTCAGTTGATCTGACCACCAGCTGGGCTGCTCAGGCTCTGGCCATCGCTCTTGCTATTGCTGCCCAAGAGCTGCTGATGGCCCCGCCCCAATCCTAGGATGCTGCAGGACATCCCGGAGAACAGGGACACGGAAGGGCAGCCACAGGCCAGGGCTTAGGGATGGCATCCCAGAAACTTGTGCCAGTGGCTCACTCGCACTGGGAAGGGTCCCTGGCTGGCCCCAGGAGCCAGATCCAAGCAAGAGCATTGGTTGTTTGGAAGTGAACTCCACAGCCGAGTTTGCCTCACTCAGAGGCCTGGATGTAAACAGGCACCGCGAGCATGGCGCATGGGCCCTCGGCCCCGGCCTGCAGCTCAGCCAATGCCAGGTTGGAGGCTAGCCCCTCAGCATGCCCGGGCACCACCAGCTCTGGGTCACCGCCCACTGTGCCGCCCACAACAATGGACAGCACGGCATCGGGCTCCGCAAAGGGTGGCTTGCCTGGGGTGGCCTCGGGCACCGGGCTGGCCCCTGAATCCTTCAGCTCCTCCAGCCCCAGTGGGTCAGGCAAGGGGGTCACCACCTTGTGCCCCCCACTGCTGCCGCCACTGCGGGGAGTTGCCCTTCTCCGGGGGGGCCTCCGGGTCTGCAGGTCCTTGTCCTTCTGGGGGCCGAGGCGGCAGCGGTGATCCTTGAGGTATTTGTGGCGGGAAAAGCCCTTGGCACAGCCCGCACAGCGGAACTTGTAGTTGCCTGTGTGGGCACGCTCGTGCTCAGCCAGATGGGCGCGGCGGCTGAAGGACTTGCTGCATAGTGTGCACTTGTGGAGTTTCATTCCTGGGGACAAGGGGGCATTAGGAAGGAGAACCAGATTATCACCCTGAGACCCAACCCTGCAGTGGTGGCCGCCCAGACAGAATTCAGTCCTCCCTACAAGCACCCAGGTCATTTGGCCCTGCTCCTTCTATTCTCACCTCCTACCTTCTCTTAGCTGCACACTCTTCTCCAATGCACTACGCTGACTCCTGCTCCTGGGCCTTTGCACTTGCTGCTTCCTCTGCCTCCAACAGCCCGCTCAATCCCTAAGCCTCAGCGAACTTTGCAGACCCCCACTGTCTCTCATCCAGATGATCAGAGACAACCACCTCCTCTGCCTCACCTGGCCCTCAGACCATTCCCTATAGTGAGCTGGGGATGTCTTTGCCAAACACGTAAATGAGCATGACACTCACTACTCCAAAGTCCCCACTGATCACCCAAGTTTCCTACAAAGGGGGTGCTACCCGATCATCCCGTTCAGCCCTCCACCCTACCCCCTCTTCCTCTACACCCTGTCCCCTATGCGCACTGTCTTTCCTGGTATCAAACACCCCCGTGTCTCCCTGCCATGAGGCTCCCTCTCCCTGCAAAGCTGTTTGCTGGCTCACACCCAGCACTCAGCTCCTCCGGGACCTCCCTGGTCTTCCTTTCCCACACTCTTCCTTCTCTGCAATCTCCGTTTCTCTCCGTCCCCGCACTCAATGTCCTTGAGGCCCTGCTGACTGTTCATTTTCAGTCTGCCCCTCAAAAAGCTCAGCTTCTCTCTTTTTATTTTATTTTATTTTTTGGTGCCAGGGATCGAACTTTGGATCTTGCGCTTGCAAGGCAGGCAGCAGAAACAGAGCTAAATCCCCGGCCCAAGGTTCAGCTTCTCCACAAAGGGTGAATAGGGTTCTGTGTTCTGCCTATCTGATGCCCCATGGCACAGCTGCTGCCTGAGATGTTGGTTGGGACTCAAGGGTCGCACACTCAATGAATCACCGGTGCCTCACGTCACCCTGAAATCAGCTCCGGCTCACATCCACCATAGGCCACAGACCTTTCACAGATGCTGTCGGTTCCTCAGCCTCCTTAGGGGCTCAGGCAGTGATGCACTGAGGGCCCCAGGCAGAAGAGGTCAGTGTCAAGGCTCAAACCCAGGCTCTCTGTCTCCATCTATGATCTATTTTCCCAATTTTCAAACTTCCTTTAGCCAGTAAATCCTTCCTGCAAACCACTGGTTCTCCAACAGGGGAGATTCTACCTGCCAGGGGACTTTGGGCAGTGCCTGGAGACACTTGTGGTTGTCACACAGTGGGAGGGATGCCACTGACATCTAGTGGGTAGAAGCCGGGAGGCTGCTAAACAACCAACCTCCTGTGACAGAATTATCCAGCCCAAAATGTCAGTGGTACCCAGGATGAAAACCCTGCTTAAAACTTAGTACAGAGCCAGGTGTGGGGGTGCATGCCTGTAATCCCAACCCTCGAGAGGCTGAGGCAGGAGGATCGGTGTGAGTTCGAGACCAGCCTGGGCTACATAGTGAGTTCCAGGTCAGTCTCAACTACATAGTGAGACCCTGTCTCAAAAAACAACAACAAAAAAAGACTGAATACATGTGGAATGCCAGCTCAGCAACTCCAGGAGCCCCTGGGAAACAGGAGCAGGAGACCCCGGCCCTGCCAAGGAACATGAATACACGTGGAATGCCAGCTCAGCAACTCCAGGAGCCCCTGGGAAACAGGAGCAGGAGACCCCGGCCCTGCCAAGGAACCTCCCAGCCACACCTTGGATAGTGCCCAGTTCATACCCCCACACCACTGGGTGCTGCTCTGATTTGTTATCTCTTGGGGGTTCCCTTTGGACTAGGGGACTGTGGTTCCTCTCCAGAACATGGCCTGGCTTCCAGCCAACAGCAGCACAAGCCTGTAGGCTGGACTGTATAGAGACAATAAGCCTTGGAGGATGTGCCTGCCCACCTCCTGCCAGTGTGTCTATCCCAGGGACCCTGAGCTGAGCCAGACACCTGCAAAGGCCCCAGGCCCCTTACCAGAGTGGGACAGGATGTGAGCCTTCAGCTTGTCTGGCCGGTTAAACTCCTTACTGCAGCCTGTGTGTGTCCTGGAACCAAAACCACCAGTCAGGAGGAGAGGGCAAGCGGAGCTCTCTTGCTGGTCCCTCCACTAGCCCTGGACACGTGAGACACCCTTGTCACCCCGGAGGCTGGGCACGGAAGCAGAGTGGGGAGCCAGGTCATCCTTCTGTCCTCCCAGTCCCAGCCCTCTCTGCCCACCTGCACGGCGGTCCCCACTCACGAGAAGGGGCATTTGTACTTCTTGAAAGGCTCGTGGATCAGCATGTGTCTCTTCAATTTGTCCTTGCGGTTGAACGCAGACTCGCATACCGAGCATTTGTATGGCTTCTCGCCTACAGGAGACACAGGCAGGGCGAGTGAGGATCCCAGAGGAGGCTGAACTTGGGGCCCGAGGGGGCCAGCTACTCCCCCAGGGAGATGGCTTGAGAGAATAAAATAGTCTCTCTCCTTCCTCCTTTTTGCCAAGTAGAGGGGGCTTTTTATTTATTTGTTTGTTTGTTTATTTATTCTTTGAGATGGGGTCTCTTTCTGTTGCCCAGGCCGGCCTTGAACTCCTAAACTCAAATAATCCTCTTGCCTCAGGTCTCCCTGTAGCTAAGAGACTCACACCATAGCCCCCGGTATATGTGTCTGTTTTATATACAATAAAGATGTAGATGGAAAGACCTGGGGAAGGAGAACCAAATTGTCAGCAGCAAGTAGGATTTGAAAGGGGAATTTAACATTTTACTTTATGGCTGGGCATGGTGGTGCTTGCCTATAATCCCAGCACTTGGAAGGCTGAGGTAGGAGCATCACTGTGAGTTCAAATCCAGTCATAATGAACCCTATTTTCTAAAGAATAAAGTTTTTGCTTTAAGTACTTCTATGTTGCTTCCACTTTTACAATCAGTACATTTCAAAATTAATTTATTATTAAATTAATTAATTATTACTTTTCAAAAATAATTTTAAAAACCATAAAGAGAGAGAGTGGGGAATAGCTCAGTGGTAGAATGTGTGTAAAGCCCTGGGTTCAATGCCCAGCACCCAAATAAAAAATTTAAAAAGCGAAGAAAGCAGTTTAGTAATATCTATCAAAATCACAATGCATATACTTTTTCTTTTTATTGTTGTAAAATATATACACTATTAAATTTACCATTTTAGCTATCTTTAAATGTATAGCTCAGTGGCATTAAGATCACTAAGCCATCACCTCCATCCATCTCTAGAACTTCTTTGTAGTCCCCAGAGCAAACTCAGCACCACATGCACATTTTAACCTGGGATTTACACTGCTAGGAATAAATACTACAGATCCACTCCCAAAGGCTCGCGTTACTCAAACTAATGGGTGAAAAATAATTTAAAGGCCTAGAGCTAGGGCACAGCTCAATGGCAGGGTGCTTGCTTAGCATGCTTGAGGCACTGCGTTCTTTCCCCAGCAATACAAAAAAATAATAAAAACATAAGGGTCCATCTGTAGGGGACAGGGGAATATTATACCAGTGTGAAAAGGAAAGTGCTTGGAAACATCTTCATGATACACTGATTAAGGAAATAAGGCTCATAATCATTATATTATGTGCTCATTTATGTAAAAATAAGCAAATGTGATGCATTGGTATAAAATAAAACTACAGGCCAGGGATTAAGCTCAGTGGTGCCGCTGCCTTCCTTGCAGGTGTCAGGTCCTGAATTCAATCCCCAGTAATAAAAAAAAAATTAATGTTAAAAATAAATAATGGGGGCAGGGATTTAGCTCAGTGGTTCTGCCACCTGGCTCACAAGCACAAGGTCCTGAGTTCGATGCCCAGTACCAAAAACTAACTAAATAAATAAAAGCAACAGAACCAGCTGACTATGGGACCAATAAAATTAATTTTTAAAAAATAGAATGAGGAGGGGCCAGAGATTCAGTTCAGTGGTTCCACCACCTGCCTCAGAAGCACAAGAACCCCCGCAAAAAAGCACAAAAAAAATAGAAGTACCTTGAAAATGCAAACACAATCTGTAGATTTTAATCTATTTTGTTTTGAGGCAGGATATCACTAGGTTGTCCAGACTGGTCTAACTCATGGACTCAAACGATTCTCCCTTCTCAGCCTCCCAAAGAGCTAGGACTATCAGTCTACACCACCTATACCCAGGTAGTAATTTAATTTAATTTAATTAATTACTTTTGGTACTGGGATCGAACTCAGGACCTTGCACTTGCAAGGCAAGTGTAGCACCACTGAGCCTAATCCCTGGCCCAGGTAGTAATTATTTTAAAAACTAAAACTGGGGCCGGGGATTTAGCTCAGTGGTTCGGTGGCCTGCCTTGCAAGCACAAGGACCCAAGTTCAATCCCCAAAGCAAAACAAACAAACCAAAAAAAACTAAAACTGGACAGAACAAACATTACTGCTTCGTGAAATTTGTTTGTACATATATGTATTTACTACATTGCAATACAAAATGCATAATTTTTCTTAGTACTAGGGATTGAACCCAGGGCCTTGCATATGCTAGGCAAGCTCTACCACTGAGCTACAACCCCAGCCCTTTTATTTTATTTTATTTTTTGGTACCAGGGATCAAACTCAGGTCCTTAAGCTTCCACATCCCCAGCCCTTTTTTTTGTTGTTGTTTTTTGTTTTTTGAGACAGGTCTCACTATGTAGTTGAGACTGACCGTGAAACTCACAGTGTAGCCCAGGCTGGTCTCGAACTCGCAGCGATCCTCCTGCCTCAGCCTCCCAAGTGCTAGGATTACAGGCATGAGTCACCATGCCCAGCTTTTCCCCAGCCCTTTTAAAATTTTATTTTGAGACATGGTCTTGCTAAATTAGTCAGGCTGGCCTTGAACTTGCAACTCCTTGGCCTTGAACTACCTCAAGCCTCCTGAGTAGCTGGAATTATAGGCACGCTTTACCATACTTGCCAAGTGTGTATGCCTGTGTGTGTGTGTGTGTGTGTGTGTGTGTGTGTAGTTATGTTTGTTTGTGTTTTAAAGCATAGGTCATAGTAAAAAAAAAGAATTGCAAATCACTGGTTTGTCCATCTGAGGAGAGGGGGATTGTTTTCATTGTATATGCTTTTATACTGTTACGTGTCAGGAGCAATTAGGGCCTAGTTTTCCTGTCTATAGGCCAGCCACGGACATGTCAAGACATAACTCCATGTTCACTTCCAGTCACAGCTAAGACTTCAAGGGTCCCGATGCTGTGACGCTCCACAGCAGGACCACACCAGCTGGAGACACCCTGGGAGGAACCAAATCTTCATCTGCACAGCTCCTCCTGTTCTAGGATTTCTGCTGCCCGGAGTCCTCTGTTACATTTGTTTTTCCCAATGTACTGAACTCTCTGTCTTCAGACGTTTGTTACATTTCTTTCTCCCAGTGTACTAAATAAAGGTGTGGCAAGCCCCCAGCACTGATCAGGCCCAAAGCTCAGCTTCTTCTCAAAGTCTCATTTTTCCTCTTTCCTGTATATTATTAATTCACCTTGTGCTGTCGTGGCTCGTAGGAGACTGACTTACTAGAAGTTCTAGTAATGTCCTCTTTCCCTGTTCCCTACAGTTAAGGATTTTTTTTCTCCTTAGTTTTTTTAATCTTTAGATCCTTTTCAATTAAAAAAATTTTTTTGTTGTTTTTTTTGTTTTCACAGTACTAGGGAATAAACCCAGGGCCTCACACATGCCTGGCAAGCACTCAAGCTCTGAATTATACACCTCCAGCCAAAAATTTTTAACTAATAAAAAATGTAAAGATTAAAAGAAAATAGGGCCGGGGATTTAGCTCAGTGGTTTGGTGGCCTGCCGTGCAAGTGCAAGGACCCGAGTTCAATCCCTGGTACCAAAAAAAAAAACCCAAAAAACAAAAAAAAGATTAAAAGAAAATAGGGCCAGGGATTTAGCTCAGGGGTGCTGCCACCTGCCTCGCAAGCACAAGGACCCAAGTTCGATCCCCAGTACAAAAAAAAAAAAAGATTAAAAGAAAATAAAATGTCACTATATCTCAACTGGGGAGGCAAGGAAAAGGATCTTTGTCCGGGTTTGGGCGAGAATTTTACAGCAAGAGCAGCGCCCCCACCCCCAGCCTCGGGGGCTCATCTTGCTCCAGTGCAGGTGGGAACACCTTTTCCTGAGCAGGGCAGGTAGGTAAAAGGCCAGGAAGGAGAGGGGTGGAGAGGTAGAGGGGATAAGGGTGGGGAGGGAGGAAGGGAAGGGATGGAGGGGCACTGGAGGGGGTACTGAAAGGGACAAGGAGGGGAAGAAGCAGGGGACAGAGCACCCACCTGAGTGGATGTGGGCATGCAGTTTGAGGTAGTGCTCACGCCGGAAGAACTTCTTGCACACCTGGCACTTGAACCTCCCCCCGCTGCCATGGGTGGGCAGGTGACGCCGCAGGTAGCGTTCACAAGGAAACACCTAGCAGAGAACGGTGGCTTCAGTTTTACCTCACTAGGTCCTCTTCCAGAATCGCAGGCCTGTGGAGACACCTACCTTTCTGCCTCCTGGGGACCAGGATCCCGTGTCAGTCAGCTCTCGTGACCTCATGGTTCCCCTCTCACTTGAAAGCCCAGCCAGGACACACCTACGCTGAGGGCCTGTCAGGCTGTTCCACCCAGACAGACTTTCTCTCTTAGTCTCACAAACTATTATCGATTCAAGACCCAACTCAGGGTTCTGTGAGCTGCCTGTGGGAAGCCTTCCCTGGCTCCCCAGTGCCATGCTAGACAGAGCCAATTCTGCATATGAAAGATCACCCACACTTTTTTTTTGGGACCAGAGATCAAACTCGGTCCTTGCACTTTCGAGGCAGGCGGCAGAACCACTGAGCTAAATCCCTGGCCCTGATCACCCACATTTTTAAGTCAGCATTTAAAACCCACTGAATGGCAGCCCTTTACTGATGCAGAGCTCTAAGAGGGCAGAGGGGCTTTCACTCCTCTCTCGGTCAGGCCCTGGGTCAAAGGACTGACAAATAAAGGAATGAATGAAAAGTTAACAAATAACAAATGAAAAAAAAAATAGAAAGATAATAAAAGGTCAGAATACACAGGAGCCCAATTGCTTTTCAACCTAGGCACAGGATGAGCACTCATTCATCTGTTTGGTGTAGAGAAGTGACCAAGGGCACAAACCCAGATACCCCACTGGTCATTGGCCCCATTATGGCCTCTCCTCTGGTAAAACAGAAATAGTAAGAGTGAGTCTTCCTTCTAGAGGTCTTTGAGTCAATTCAGGTAAAATGCTTAACACTGCACCTGGTAAATGCTTCTTGCTCAATTCACGCTGCCTTTAAATTCGAAAGCACAAGCTTAGGCTATATAATTAGAAGCATCTGGAATGAGGCCAAGGGCTGGGGATTTAGCTCAGTGGAATGAGGCCAAGGTAAACCAGGGCTGTCCTGGAAAATCTGTCATGTAAGGTTGTTGACAAACGACCAGAATAAGGAATCAAGGTAAACACACCAGGGGTAATCAGCAAAACCCAGACTGTGGGAAACTCCACAGGACCTGTATCCCAGTTTCTTCAACAAATAAAAGGAAGCGAAGGAGCTTGGGGGAGGGGTACAGATTAATAGAAGTTTTCGTGCTATCAGTCAGTCACAAGCTGTAGACCTGATACAAATAAACTTTACAAAAAATGATGACGCCCTGAAACAGTGGTGATTGGAACTCTTGCCGGGCATTTGATCACTTTAGAACAGACTACCAGAGTCCCAGAACAAAGAACCGATAATAACAAGCATAAAGGTACAGCGATGAGGAAGAGGCCATGGACCCACCTTCTGGCAGTGCGGGCAGGGGAAGTTGTGGGTGGCTGTCTGCAGGTGGTGCTCCAGGGCCTCAGGCGTGGAGTATTTGTTGACACATTTGACACACCTAAGTGGGAAGTAGGAGGTGAGATGAGGATGCCCAGAGGTCCCAGGGACCAGTCTCTTGCTGCTCCAGGGCAAAGGCAGGAGGCAGAATCCCTCAGGAAGCCATTCTCAAATCTGTCCACTCTTCTGGCTTGCCACTGCTGACTGGACATGTGCAGTCATCTTCTCTCTGCCCTGCAGTCGGCTCTCCACAAGGCAGCCACAAGGAGTCTTTAAAAACCAACACCAGGGCCGGGGTCATAGCTCAGTGGCACAGGGCCTGCCTAGCATGTATGAGGACCTGGGTTCCATCCCCAGCACCACATAAATAAACAAACAAACAAATGTAAAAATCAAGACAAGGCCCCAGCCCAAAGCACTCCTACCTCTCAGACCACATCTGTCTTCACTTGCCACCTAAGACCCTTCATCATGACGTATCACCTTCAGGGGACTAAAAACCACCTAGAGGCTTAGCAAAGCACTGTTCTGGGGTGTCTGGATGGCTGACACATAGGCCAGCAAACTGGGGCGGGGAGACCCACTTCGGATGTGGATGGCGCCTGGACGGCGTAAAAAGGAAAAGAAGGAGGTGTCCCCATGTTGGAAGAGCTCCAGTCTTCCCCGTTACCCTTGGATATCAGTTTCCACTTTCTTCATCCTTCAAAGGCAGACTCACACCAGCAACTCTCTAGTGAGCTCCCAAGCCTTCGACTTAGGCCTGCTGCTACATCCTCAATTCCTCTTGTTCTGTGGCTTCTATCTCCTCGGGCTGAGCAGCTACTAAATCCTCCAGCTCTCCGGTGCACTGATGGCCACCTGTAACTTTTTCTGCCTCTGATCCTGCAGGCTGCCACTGTGGACTCTTCTGTGTAGGATCCAGTAAGCTGACCTCATAAATACTCTTGCATGATCATATACATATTTTCTACTGGTTCTGTTCCTTTAGAGAACTCTGACTAATAGACCACTTAACTTACTGTTCTGCCCACCCGGATACATCTGCACATACCGAGCTGGTCCTTCCTCAGGGCCTTTGTACTTGCTGCTCCTGTTACATGACCGCTTTCCCAAATCTCCCCGAGTAGCTCTTCCTCATCCCTCATGTCTCAGATCAAATGTCACCTCCTCGGAGAGGCCCTCCTTGGCCACCCTGCCTTGTTGCCCCCCACCGTTCACCCCAGTCACTCCCTCTTAGGTCTCCCAGTTTATTTTCTTCTTAGCATTTGTTATCCAGAAATATTTTATTTATTTGCTTATTGGTGATAACCTGTCTCCTCCAATAGCCAGTGGTCTTTGCTGTGGGGACCATATCTTTCCTGTTCACAACTTGCTCTGAGCATCAGTGAGAATCTGTTATGTGAAGCATCAAAATGGATAGGGATCCAGGCCCTGCTCCTCTGTTTCTGATGCTCTCAGTTTTCTTAGCCTCACCCAGGGCAGGAACCCCAAATGGCCCTGGCCCTCTTAAGGTTATCACAGAGTCAAAGAACACAGTGGTGCCAAGCAGTTCATAAACTGAAAAGTGCTATCAACACAGCTGTTGCTCTTGACATTGCTGTGGCTTCTGTGCCCTCTAAATAGCACTTCAGGAGCCTGGGGCACAGCTCAGTGGGAGAGTGCCTGCCTATAATATGCCCTGGATTCTACCCTAGTACCCCAAAACAGCACTTCCAGCCACAAAGCATTTTAAAGGAATAAGAGAGACCACCATCTCCCTACCACAAAATATCTGCCAGTAAATGACCCCATTTACAATAAGGCACCCGTGAGGACTATCATGTGTCGTGTAACAGGGACTTAGAACTTTTGCTAAAATGCACTGACTCTTCCCTGGGGCTGCAGATGTCTGACAGGAAACTAACAGCAGAATAAAAGCTTGGCATTTCTGCCTTCATTTTGTACCTGTCTCTCCTGCTACCTTAAACTTTGCCTCAGATTCCTGCTCAATTCTGCATGCAAGTGTGTTAATCACTCAAGAAGTATCTGTCTAAAAACTGGTAAGATAAGGTCCCTCAGTCCTAAATTTACCCAACCTCTCTTGCCCTCCCTCAAAGCTGAAGGTACCACGATAAGAGAACCTAAACTCATCTCAAGATTCCAGGATCAGAAAGCCTTTCGGGCAGATCACTGCAGGATGTGCTGCCCCGCTAAGTGGAAGGGACTGACCCATGAGAGCAATCATCTCAGTTACCGCCGCCACCACCACCCCAAGCAGAAACAATTCTAGGGGCCAGCAGAACTGCAGAGCCAGACCTGAGGTACAGATCAACCAGACCAGCTTGAAGCAAGACTCTGTAACTAGGCATACTTCTTGCCCCACACCATCTCGCTCCTCCCCTATAAAAATTGAGCTCTGCTGATATCCTGGAAGACAGACAGGGCTTAGGGCCCCAGGGTGGCTACACTGCATGAACAAACCCTTTCTTGATTTCCTGTCACTCAAGTCTCTGTCTGGACTCTCAAGGAGGCAGGAGACAGGACCTAGTCTGTTGGAGCCTCAGGCATAGGACTCCAAACACCAACAGGTAGGCAGATCATGCCAATGATAATAATGTGGGCACTGTCATTCTGTACACCAGTGCCAACTGTGGGAAACCCCAAGCAGAGGGCACCTATACTGGGCCCGAGGGACCCCCTCAGACCATTCTCTGGAATCACAGAAAAAGTCCATCCAGACAGAAAGAAAGGAAGAAGAGGTAGAATGGGAAAGAGGTACAAGGAGGGCAGAGACTGAGCAAGTTGATAGTTTTAGAGGAAATGTGGGTTTGTATGAGAGCAAGTTTAACAAAAGCCATGAAAATAAAACTTCCCAGCCAAGAGGCTGAAGCAAGAGAATCACAAGTTTGAGACCAACTTGGACTACATGAAAACTTCAAAAAAAAAGAGCTCTCCATCAGGATTACCACGTGTACTCTGTCTTCCAGGGTAACATCAGCAGTAATGCACATAACAGCATCATGAGCCTCAGAGACGGCGCCCAGGGAAGGACACGGTGGTGTCATGTGTGACGTGCTGGCTGACAGTGAACATCTAGGAGCTAATCACAAGATAAAACCAGGCAGACTCAAATGAGAACACTCTACTAAATAATCTGTCTACACTCTTCAAAAATATCAAGGCCAGGGCTGGGGATTTAGCTCAGTGTCGCTGTGCCTGCCTCGAAAGCACAAGGTCCTGAGTTAGATCCCTGGTACCAGGGTAGGGGGCCATCAAAGTCAGGCTGAGGACAGAGTAACTACCTAGCATGTATGAGGCCCCAGGATGGATGCTTTGCAAAAAAAAAAAAAAAAAAAAAATCAAGGTCATAAAAGGCAAAGGAAGACCTGTTCCAGCTTCAAGACAGGGAAAGAAGTGTGATAACTGAATGTGACATGTGATCCTAGGTTTCACCCTGGGCCAGAAAAAGCTTTTTCTTTTTTCTTCTCTTTCTTTCTTTTTCTACACAGGATGTTATTGGAACAATTGGAAAATTGTGAATAAGGCACAGAGATTAGATAGGATAACTGTACTGATGCTAACTCCCCAAGTCCGATAGCTTCACTATGACTGTACTTAAATATGAAGTTTTTTCCTTGATTTAGGAAACACACATGTAAGGGAAAGATGAAGGGCATCGCGTCTGCAGATTACTTTCAAATACTTCAGAATATGATAAGCAAATGGGTCACAATATTGACAGGTGGGAAATCTAGAAGAAGGCCATATATGGGAATTCTTCATACTGTTTTTATCGTTTTTCTAGAAGTATGAAATTTTACAAAAATAAAAGTTTAAGAAGAACACGTGTGCATGTGTGTACAGTGCTTTGGATGGAACTGTGAGTCTTGCAAATGCAAATATAAAAAGAATTTTTTTTGTTTTGTTTTGTTTTGTTTTTGGTAACGCAGATTGAACTCCGGCCCTTGGACTTGCGAGGAAGGTGGCGGAACCACTGAGCCAAACCCCCGGTGCTAAAAAGAATATTTTTTGATCTGCTGATAATAAGGGAAAGTGGGTCAGGATGGGTAAGGAATTCCTATTCACGCTGTACCCTTTTGTGGTTTTCTTTTTAAATACTGTGCTATATGCACCAACAACTTTTTGGAAGTAGATAATTAATCCTTCTTAGAGCTCCCTTGGGCCTCTGACCTGCAAAATCGCTTCTAGAAACTTACAAATGAGCAAAATCATATGCCCAAAGCAGTTCCCTGTAGCACTGCTTATAATAATGACAAACTGGAGATGACCCAATTATCCAGCAGTGAGAAATGGCTTAAATAAATTACAGTGCATCCATGTACAATTGAACACAAAGTAGCTGTTTAGAGTCAGGTCTATCCTGAGATGCAAAAGGTGCCCACAGTATAGCGTTAATTGCAAAAGGTTTTTGCTATTTTGTTTTCATTTCTTTTTTTCTGAGACAAAGTCTGTAGCTAGCTTCAAACTCACAACACTCCTTCCTTAGCCTCCTCAGGGCTAGGAATACACACAGGAGACACCACCCCAGGCTAAAAAGGTATTTTTTCTTTTTTTTTGTTTTTGTTTTTAATTAGAGTTTTTTGTTTTGTTTTGCTTTTTGGGGAAAAGATCTTAACATATATTCTACCCTGGCTTTGAACGCACTATGTAGCCCAGGCTGGCCTCAAACCTGTGGCAATCCTCTTAAGTGCTAAAATTATAGGTGTGCGCCACCACAGCTGGCTTACCTGGGAGACTGTTTGGTTTTTTACAGTGTTGGGGTCAAACTAGGACCTTGTGCATACCAGGTAAGAGCTCTACCACTGAGAGAATAAAGGCAGACTGCATTGGGTTAGTGCACACTGTATGCATAGTGAACCCCATTAAACATGTACAACACACGGTTAACAAAAATAGAATATAGACTTTTATAGAAATACTATATACTTTTTCTTTTTTTAGAAATGAAGGTATCACTGCATTGCACAATCTGGCCTTGAACTCCCGTGCTCAACAAATCTTCCTGCTTAAGCTTCCCAAGTAGATGGAACTAAATGCCCAACTTTTAGAATATTTTTTTTTTAAATGATAACACCATGTGTACAGCAGGATCTCACTAAATTTCAGCCTGTTCATCAGAAGCTCTATAACAGGAAGATGGTGTGATGAACTTTCACCGATCCCTTGACTGTGTCTGGGAATATAACTGTGATATTTATATCTGTAGTCATATCTATAAGTATACATATTACAGACATTACCAGAGGACATATACCAAGAGGTTAACAGTAGCTATCGATGGGTGACAGGATTTGGGGTTTTTTTTTCTATGCATGTACATTTTTTTTAAATTCCTTTTTCAGTTTCCTTAATATGAGAGACCCAAAATATAAATAATTTAAAGAGCAAAGTAAATAAAGAGCCATGTTAAGAAGTAGGGAGGGAAGGCCGGGGAGTTAGCTCAGTGGTGCTGCTGCCTGCTTTGCAAGTGCAAGGTTCCAAGTTCAATCCCCAGTACCAAAAAAAAAGAGAAAGAAAAAAAGAAGAAACAGGGAGGGAGACTCTGCAGACACAGGAAGGTGATCTGGGAAAGGAAAACAGGGGAGTAAAGATGATCAAGAGCAATATGTGTATGTATCAAACCCTGAAGCTGAATGTAATCACTACTGTATGCAACAAAAAACATGCACTAATAGGGCCAGGGATTTAGCTCAGCCGCACCACACCTGCCTTACAAGCGCAAGGTCCTGAGTTTGATCCTTGGTACCCCCCAAAAAAAGTACTAATAAAAAAATACTTTAAAAATTTTTTTCTCACTAGGCTGAGTGCCACACATCTGTAAGCCAGGACTCTGGGAGTCTGAGGCAGAATCCAAAGGTCAAGCCCAGCCCAAGCAATTCAGAAACTTAGTAAGATTATCTCAAAAACTAGAAAAAGAAGAGCTGGGGATTTAGCTCATGGCAGGGCCACCTATCTTGCAACCACAAGGTCCTAGATTCCATCCCTGGTACCAAAACAATAAATAAATAAATAAATAAAATAAAAAATGTTAAAGGGATGGGGATGTAGCTCAGTGCAAAGGCCCTGGGCCCAACCCCTAGTAGCACAAAAAAAGAAATGAAGGAAAGAGGAAGAGAAGGAGGGAGGGGGAAAAGCAAGCAAGAAAGGAGGAAGAGAGGGACAGAGGGAAGGAAGGACAGAAGGAAAGAAGGGGGGAGAGAGGGAGAAAAGGGAAGAGAAGGAAGGACGAAAGAAAGAAAAAGAAAGAAAGAAAGAGCCTGGTGTGGTGGCGCACGCCTATAATCCCAGCACTCGGGAGGCTGAGGCAGGAGGTTCGCTGTGAATTCAAGACCAGCCTGGGCTACATAGTGAGTTCCAGGTCAGTCTCAACTATATAGTGAGACCCTGTCTCAAAAAAACAAACAAACAAAAAAAAACAAAAACAAAAACAAGAAAGAGAAAGAAGGAAGGAAGGAAAAAAGAAAAGAAAAGAGGTGAGAGGAAAAGAAAAATGCACAGCAGAGATACAGTGACGTGTATGAAATTCATTGCAGAGGCTTGGGGAGATACCCACAGGCAGGCCGAGGCCTCATGACTCAAAAAAATCACAAGCACCAGACTGACACGACCCAGATGGAGCCACCAAACCAGCTCTACAGCTCCTGTGAAAGACAGAAACTCACTTGTTTAAGCCTCTGTTACTTGTGTCTGTGTTGTATACAGCCAAGCCTACATCTAAATAAACACAATAATCACTCTGGCAATCTCCTTGATCAAGCACCTATTTTACTCAAGGGAACACATCTACATGTCTTGTCCCTGTCTTATTTGATCCTTGTAAAGACTCCAGTAGATGCTGGTCATGTGAGTGCAGGTCTGTAATCCCAGCTACTTGGCAGGCTGAGGCAGGAGGATCACAAGTTTGAGGCCAGCCTGGGCAAGTTAGTGAGGCCCTGTCTCAAAATAAAAAATAAAAAGGGCTAGGGCCAGGGACTTAGCTCAGTGGTTCCACTTCCTGCCTCTCAAGCGCAAGGTCCCAAGTTTGATTCCCAGTACCAAAATTAATTAATTAATTAATTAATTAAAAAGGGCTGGATGTAGCTCAATAGTAAAGCACCCTTGGGTTCAATTGCCAGCATCATAAAAATAAACACAGTGTAATAAAAAGAAATAAGGTAGGCCTATTGAAATCCCCACTTCACAGTTGAGGAAACGGAAGCCCCGGGTGGCTGAATACTTCACCCAAGGTTATCCATAGAGATCTGAGCATAGGCAGGTGGCTCCAGACACCATTCCACCCCGAGGCCAACCTACAGTTCCCACCGCTCAGGAAAGGACAGCAGCATTCTACCACAGTCTACAGTATGCACTTGTTTACACACCTGGTCTGCATTTAATTAGCTCTGAATGCAGAAGCCTCACCGAGAAGGGTAAGAGAGGTCACTGGCCAACCCCATTTGTACAAATGATGTACAAATGACAACCCTCATGGCAGATGCAGAAGGAGGCCCCAGACAGCCTTCCTTGCTTTTTGGCTATCCGGGGGGACTTGGTACCAGAGGGCAAATGCAGGTGAAAAGCTCACAGAGCAAAAACCCAGGGTCTCAAGGAGTCAGGGGAGGCACGCTGAGCAGCTGTAAGAAAAGGTGAGGCAGAGGTGTCGGAAACAATCCACAGGACACACTGGGCAAGCTGGCCAAAGGGGCCATGACTCCAAAGGGACGACAGGGAGAGCTAAGGAGGAACAGCAGGTGGCAAACCAAGGCACCTTATCGCTTCTACCAAAGAGACCCTCCACGACTGCAGCAGGGGGCTAATGTGACGGGACAGGCAATCCGGAAAAATCACCCCCAGTAAAGTCTACACTCGGTCTCTTCCTTGGTCAGCCTCAAAATCGGCACCTAGGTTCACTTTAGCCTACATCTTATAGATTATACAGCAAATGAATCTTGTCATGATTCTCACTTTCCAGTATGTGCTTATTCTCTCTCTCTTCACTTTAAGAATCAGTGTATTGCTTTGACTGTAACCTGCTTTGTAGAAGATAAAGTAAACCAACTGTTTCTGTTTTTGCAATTCTGGGGAATGAACGCAGGGCCTTTGCACTGAGCTATGTTCCCAGTCACCACCCCTCCTCCCCCTTTTGGGGAGGACAGGATTTGCTAAGTCATTAAGTTGTCTAGACTGGACTCAGTCTTTTAATGTTCCTGCCTCAGCCTCCCAGAATGCTAGGATTACAAGCACGTGCCATCAAGCCCAGCTATATATTCATAATTTTTTAGTCTAGAAAAACAAAACAAAACATTTTTTCCTTTCCATTACAAATGAGGATACTGGTTTCCCTTTTAAAGGTTTTTTTTTTTCCCCCTATGGCAAATGTCTGCCAAGGAGAATATGATGGCTTGTATCTAGATATCCCCCAAAGCCTCCTGCAGTCACAGTGGAGCTTTCTGTTTGTTTTGTTTTGTTTTGTTTTGAGACAGGGTCTCACTATGTAGTCTAGGCTGGCCTTGACTCACTGCATAGCCTAGGCTAGCCTCAAACTCACAGTGATCCTCCTGCCTCAGCCTCACAAGGGCTGGGATTACAGGTGTGCGCCATCACACCTGGAAGAGTGGACTTTTTAGAGGTGGCTGGATCTAGGGTTTGTGCTGCTTGGATCAAGGACATGATGCTAAGATCGATTCACAGTATGATGCTAGGCTGAAGGGTGTGAGTGCTACCCTCCCTAAGGGCGAGAAGGCTGGTTAAGACAGAAGGGACAGAAAGAGCTATGGTCAGGGCTTGTCATTTGCTTGTGCCTTGCTGCCTTTTGCTTGCTGCCTGCCATGAACTATTTCTCCTCTGCAGAGCCCCTTTGCCATGCCGCCTTGTCTTGGAGCCAGCTGATTATGGACTAAAATCTCTACAAACTGTGAACTAAATAAACTTTTCCTCCTTAACTTTGGGTGTCAGGTATTTTGTCTCAGCAATAAAAGAAAAGTAACTAAGACAGAGAAGAATAATGCAGCTGGGCGTGGTGGCGCACGCGTGTAATCCCAGCACTTGGGAGGCTGAGGAAGGAGGATCACTGTGAGTTCAAGACCAGCCTGGGCTACACAGTGAGTTCCAGGTCAGTGTCAACTACATAGTGAGACCCTGTCTCAAAAACAAAAAAAAAAAAAACAAAGAGAGAGAGAGAATGATGCAAGGAGAGCCAGCATGTTTTCCTCACCTGTGCCCATACCAGGAGCCACTCTGCCAGGCTGGACCCTAGCCTGGAGCCTCAGTTTCCCCTGTGGAAGTGTCTCACTTTTCCTGAGTGGTCAGTGAGGCCACAGTGACTCCAAGCCCTGCCTGCTAGCCCATGCACCCAGGCGGATGGGGGTGGCACGTACTTGTAGACAGCACTGTCCTTCTTGGGGCTGTGTTGCGGCAGCCAGCTGTGGGAGTACTGGTGCACACCCAGGTCGTACAGCGAGGGGAAGTCCTTGCCGCAGAGGTGACAGCGATAACTCAGCTCCTCCTGGTGGCTCTTGATGTGCTCCAGAAATGTGTCGAGCTTGGGAAAGGTCTGGGCACAGCTCTTGACCACGCACTTGTACACCTGCGGGGAGACGCTGGGCAGGTGAGGAAAGGAGAAGGGCCACTGCCACCACTGCCCCTGTCTGCTACCACTGACTTTAAGCACTGCCAGAGAATGCCCTGACCTCTTTTCCCTGTCCCTGAATTCTGGAGCGCCAATTTCATTTTGATTAGAGGGTTGTTTTCTCTCTGTGTAGCCTGGGTGCACACAGAAAAATCCAGATACTTGGGGGTTGATGCAGCAGGACCACTGCAAGTCTGAGGCCGGCCTGGGCTACATCATGAATTCAAGGCCAGCCTGAACTACATAGCAAGACTGTCGAAAAAGACAGAAGAGAGAAGGGAGATCATCTAAGACCTGGAAATACAGTGAAGGGATGACTGTGTCCTTTCAATGTCCCGCTGGAGTAGTTTGCTCAGGGCACGCAAACCTGAGCAGACTTAAGAATCCCAGACTGCTGGGTACCACCCCCAGGTATCTGACTCGGCAGTGTGGCAGTCTGAATATATGGACTCCTGACCAGGAATACTCAGGCGATGCTCACACTGTTGGTCTGGGGACTTCACTTTGAGGACTGTGATCGAACAGGCCTGCCCAGGGTCCTCTCGCTCTCTGGAGAATGGGGATAGTTTTGAGAATTTACTATTAATTCAGGACCCAGGCTCTCAAGTGAAATGTTAACTTGTAAAAATCTGATCCACTATAATGATTTTTGTCAAGGAGAGAAGGTAACCTCAAAGGTCAAGGTGTTGTTGCCCCATAGAACATGAACCAGATTTGTATCTAATTTAGCAATCTGACTTAGGGGATCTTTTTAATTTTATTTAATTATTTTATTTTGTTTTATTTTATTTTATTGAGACAGGGTCATGCTAGACAGCAACACACTATCCTCCTCCCTCACCTTCCAGAGGGCTGGGATCACAAGTGTGCACCACCACATCTGCCTTTCATATCCTTTTTGAACTGGTTTTGTAATCCTTCCAATTCTTTCATTAATGATTTTAAGGAAAATTCTGATTCATGTTTAGAGTCTCATTTGTATATAAGAATTATGTCTTTCACATTTTGGAAATTTTACTTTGACTAGTAGCACATATTCCTTGGGTTCCTACACAATGTCACACACTCTTTCTTCCTAACAAAGTAAACCCTGATTTGCTCAGGGTGGCAAAACACCTAATTAAAACATTTAGTCCCCTAATCCTACATCTAGTGCCAGCCATGTGACTCCCTTCTCACCAACAGGAGGCAGTAGTTCCAGGGAGCACCGCTCCCAGAACAGAGATGCAAACGTCTCCTAGGAGAACTCCCCCAGTTGTTGCATTTGTCCTGATGTAGATATGACGGAGACATAGTCTCTGCTCAGCGACCCTGAGGATGAATGTCACAAGCTAAGGAGAGCAGAGAGGAAGCTAGAAGCCTGTCCATCATTACATATGGACCCACTAACGAGCCCAACATTGCCTACTTATGAACGTCTTTTCATATGAGAGAAATAAAACCCGAACTAGGAAGTCAGTGCTCCATTGTCTGCAGGATAACACACACTGAGTAAAAGAGCACATGTACTGCCCCTGACCTGGGAGATCTAGAGAACAGTTCTAGGAAAGGTGTCCTTACTCCTGAAAAGGTTTCCACTGCTCATGAGTGATTCTATGTCTGCACTGCTCCCGAGGAAGAGTGACCACCCTCCCAGGACCACAGGATGAGCCACAGTGGGGGACACAGCCCTGCCTTATCATGGTGGTAACCAGCGCTGGAAAGACACCCAAGTCTGGATACTGGGCTGAGTCACCTGACGGTCTCAGACCTGGAGCTGCCCTATCCAGGCCTTGTGCTCTGTGAGATGACAAACTTCTCAACTCTTTACATCAGCTTGAGTCAAAGGCTTCTGTGATTTGTCCCCAGGATCACCCAATTTAACTCCGTTAACCACTAAGGATAAGAGCTGTGGGAAAAATCTTGAGGGGCTGACTCCTGTCCCTTTGTAGGCAGCATTCAAGACCACACAAGCCAGTGGTGGTGCAGGCCTGGGAGGCTGAGACAGGAGGATCATAAGTTTGAGCTCAACTTGGGTAACTTAATGGCTCAGCAAAACCCTAACTCAAAAATAAGTTTAAAAGGTACTAGGGATAAAGCTCAGTGCAAAGGTGCTGGATTCAATTTCCAGTAACACACACACACACACACACAGCCTGCACAGTCAAGGCTCATGAGGGGTGACTGTGGCTCTTGCTGCCCTCTGCTCACTTACCTGCTCATTCTTATGCTGGGTCATATGGGACTTGAGCTGGAAGTAGGTGCTGAACTTGTTGGGGCAGAACTGGCACAGGTAGGAGCTGTCAATGAGTACCACCTGCTTGGGCTCCATCTTGTCTCCTTCGTCCTCACCTGCTGTGGGCAAAGCCTGGGGCTGTGGCGCACCTGCCAGGGTCTGGCCCAGCCCTAGGGAGAAGGCCGAGGAAGAGTCAGGCAGGGAGTCACAGGATGCCTACTGCGCTCCTCTGTGCTCCCCCGCCTACTATGTGCTTTGGTGGCAAGCACTGTGCTCTGGGCACCCGCTCCCATCCAACGCAGATGCTAACTGCCTAGACGCTGCCCTGCCACACGGCCACAGCTGGTGCTCCGGCCGCCTCCCTGCCCTTCCCTTGGACACTGCGAACCTCTTTCCACGCCTTGCTCCCCTCATGATGCTCCCAGACCCTGGTTCTAAGTGGAGCCCCTGGCTTCGCTGTCCCTCCCACACTCTCCTGTCAGGGACCTCTGACTTGTCTCTAGGCCCACAGCCAGGCTCCTAAGAGCCTCCATCATGTCTGATAAATGGTTGAAGCTTTGGTACTGGCCCCCGCAGGTGTTGCCAAAGCAACGGGAAGAGCAGTCCTCCTCCAGGGAGCGCACAAGACTCTGAGGACATAGCTACTTCCAACTGGAAGCACTGACAGAGGGCACACGCGCGGCCACACAAGTGGGACTGCGTGCAAGGGCTCTGGCTCGGGCGCCACACCATCCCCCATGAGTCACACCTGGCATGGGCCAGTCCAGACCCATGTGTGCTGTCAGTATAAACACACACTAGATTATAAATCTGGTTATAAAGAGCAAATAAAATATCTCAATATGGCTGGGAGTGTAGCTCATTGGTCAAGTGCTTGCCTAGCACACGTAAGGCACTGGATCTAATCCCCAGTGTTGCAAAAAACAGAAATAAACAACAACAACAACAAAAATGCAACAATTTCTTTATATTACATGTCAAATTGGTAACATTAATAGATTAGGTTAAATAAAATATATGATTTAAAAAAAATTTTTTTTTGGTGTTGGTGCTAGGGGTTGAACTCATGGCCTCATGCAGGCTAGGAAAGTGCTCTATCACGGAGTTACAATCCCTCACCCCTTTTTACTTTTAATTTTTGAGACAGGGCGTCGGTAAGTTGCCCAGGGTGGCTTCCAACTTGAGATCTTCCTGCCTCAACCTCTGGGTAGCTGAGCAAAATAAAAAATAGGTAACAGGAAATGGAAAGATAGATCTTTTTACAAGAGAAGGAGACAGAAATAGAGGGAGGGGAAAGGAAGGGAGGGTAAGAGAATGAGAAAGAAATTAAGATGTGTTATGCACAGTGGTGCCTTGGTTCACCAACTTCATTTGTTCCACGATTTCGGGAAATGGTCACATTTGTGTTCACATGGGAAAGATGGCCACAATCACATTCATCATCCAATGGAGAGCTTGCAAACAAAAACAAAATTCTGGGGCCAGGGATTTAGCTCAGTGGTTCCAGCGCCTGCCTCGCAAGCACAAGGACCTGAGTTCCATCCCTGGTACCAAAAAAAAAAAAAACAGAAAAAAACAAAATTCTGCCAAACGCTTCTGTTTGCAAACTAAACTGTTCACAAGTAAAAGCATTCATGAACCGAGGCACCACTGTACATGAACCAACTCGCTGAGAGGAATGTAATCATTGTGTACTACACACATGGATTAATAAAAAAATTAAAACTGAAGAAAGACTGTTGAGTGTAGAAACTGTGAAATTATATGTGGTGCTCATGTTAGAATTCTCTCAGCAGCACTGGGTTTAAGCCCACAAGAACAGTGCTGGAGCAGCACTGACCCACAGCAAGGATAGGACCCTTCGCTGAGGAACAGGCTCAGGCTCAGACAAACAAGCATCCCACAGAGTACAAAGTGCCCTGGAGAGCAAATGCCACAGAGCTCGGACAGGACTCTGGTCCTGAGCAACCACAGTAACCACATGGAGCAATATATTAAAAATAGATTCTAAGGTGAAACCCAGGGTCAGCACCAGAAAAAAGCCCACAAAAATACTGGATGTGGTGGTGCTTGCCTGTATGCCAATACTATGGGAGGCTGAGACAGGAAGATCACAAGTTTGAGCTCAAAGTGAGCAACTTAATGACTTTGTAAGACTCTGTCTCAAGATAAAAAATATTAGAAAGAGCTGGGGATGAAGCCATACACACACATACACACACACACACACACACACACACACACACATAAGTATTTAATTAGCGATGTCTGCTACCGGTACATATGAAAATAATATCACATTCCATGTCCCATTTTAAAGATAAAGTAGATTTCAGCCCAGAGGGAGCACAGAAGTTGCCTGAGATCACTGTGCTAGCAACAGAACCTAGGAAGCTGCAGAAGAGAGGTGTGGGGATGGCAGCTTTCCTACTTCTACCCACCTGTGTTTTCTTCATCCTCTTGTCTGCTGGGGTTCAAGGCCATGACCTGTACCGTCACAGAGTTGCGAGAAACAGTGCTGCCACTGCGCCCTGGAGGCCACACCTTGTGTGTCTGCATGTGTTTCTTGACGTTGGACTTCTGTGCGAAGGCGCGGCCACACGCGATGCACTGGAAGGGCTTCTCCCCAGTGTGGCTGTGGGAGACAGGGCTGGTCAGCAAGTGAGCGTGAACAGCCAGGATGCCCAGAGGGAACTTCCGGAAGCTGCTGGCTGCCATCTGACACCATGGCAACACATCCTCGTGCTGAGTCAGGCAGGCCACGACACTGAGCGGAATCAACCGTCCCTGGAGTCCACGTCCTCTGTGAGGTACACCCTGTCCTCACTGCTGTGAGCCCACTCAGGTAGGGACTTCAACACCCTACCTGCCACAGCACAGAACTTGTACCACTCTATATTTTTCTTTAAATCTTTGTTTAAACATGGTGTTACTAAGTCGCCCAGGCTGGCCTCCAATTTGCGATCCTCCAGCCTTAGCCTCCTAAGTAACCAGGATCACCCAGGACTGGCTTCCACCCACTTTTTTTTTTTTTCGAACCCAGGGCCTTCACTGAGCTACATAAGGTCTTGCTTTACAACTCAGGCTGGGCTTTGTAGCCCAGGATCACAGTGATCCTCCTGCCTCAGCATTCTGAGTGCTAGGATTACAGGGATGCATCACCACACCTGGCAATTTCTAGCCCTTTTTATTTTTTTATTTTGAGATGGGTCTCACTAAGTTGCTAAGTTTCTCAGGTTGGGCTCAAACCTGCACTCTCCTGGCCTCAGCCTCCCAGGTGGGGGCCACCATCTCCAGCTTCAACTTGCTTTTTTTAGAACTTAGAACTTAGCAGCTGCCACAAGGGACAGCGTCTATCCAGGCATCTCCATTAACCAGCTTCAACTTGCTTTTTTTTAGAACTTAAAAGTTAGCACCTGCCACAAGGGACAGCGTCTATCCAGGCATCTCCATTACTGCTCAGTCACCGGCCAGCAATGGTGGAGACCAGTGACTCTCAACTGAATTTAAATGTGCCTTTAGGGGCCACCTGACAACATCTGGAGACATTTTCAGCTGCAACAGCTGTAGGGTAGAGTGTTACTGCTATCTAATGGTTAGGTGTCAGGGATGTGCTTAAACATTCTACAAGGCACAAAAGCACAGATGGTCCCTACAGCAAAGAATGATGTGACTGGAATCTGAAATGTCATCCGTGCTGAGGAAGAAAAGTCCTGGTCTAATCAGAGTCTGCCTCCTAACACGGCTGGAATCTCACACACACATATGCACGCACACTCATATTCACTCTCTCTCTACCTCTTTCTCAAGAGATAAGAAGTCAGGTGCAGTGGTGCACATCTGTAATCCCAGCACTCTGGGAGGCTGAGGCAGGAGGATCAAGAGTCTGAGCCCAGTCTAGGCAACTTAGCAACTCAGTGAGATGCTGTCTCAAAAAATAAAGGGCTGAGGCCCAGGGATTTAGCTCAGTGGTTCCACCGCCTGCCTTGCAAGTGTAGGGACCCGAATTTGATCTCCGGTACCAAAAAATAAAATAAAAGGCTGTGTAGCCCAGGCTGGTCTCGAATTCACAGTGATCCTCCTGCCTCAGCCTCCCAAGTGCTGGGATTACAGGCGTGAGCCACCACGCCTGGCTCTGTTTTGTTTTTTTGAGACTAGATCTCACTGTGTAGTTCAGGCTGGCCTTGAACTCACTACATAGCCACTATGTTGTCTCAAATTCACAGAGATGTCCTGCCTCAGCCTCCCCAGTGCTGGGATTACAGTGCACCACTACATCCAGCCTCCTTGCCCATTCCTGAGACAGGAGGCGTCATGGCTTGTGCTGAGTGAGCCAGGAGCACCTATCGCACCCTGGCAGAGCCTGGCACCTGGCCAGGCAGCCTCGCATGTCTGTAAGACTCCTCTAGGTCAGTTCATCCCCACACCCAGTTGATCACAGGGGGCAGGCCCCCTCCATTGGCCCTGCAAAATGAGAGGGAAAACCACCATGACTAGGGCTGTAGGCCCAAACACCATGAAAGGATAGACAGGCTCAGCTGTCACCCTGGACAGCCACCTGCCCCCAGGCCCTGTGTCCCGCTGACCTCCGGATGTGCTGCTGCAGGTCAAAGTTCTTTGTGAAAGACTTGTCACAGTAGGAGCACTTGAGCTTCTGAGCCTTTGGCTTCCCTGCAACTGAGACACAAAAAGGGAGGAGACCGTGAGGCTGGGTCCCATCTGAGGGCAGCAAGGGCTGCCTCCAGCCACCGCAGCCCCAATCCACACAGAGGCAGAGCAAGAACCACTGCTGAGCTCCTCACAGGGCTCAGGAGGAAAGCCCAGGACATGAGACGGTTGGGAAAGCAGCAGGAACCTCAAGAGTTCCCCTTTGCCCCAGGATGCAATCTGGCTATGGCTATAGCACTGTGACCTCTGAGCCCTGCCAGCCTCATCAAACCCTCCGTCTCCGTCCAGCTGCAGAGCTCAAGCCTGCTCCCACCTCAGGGCCTCTGCACCTGCTGGTACCCTTGCGCGGAGTACTGGTCCCTTGGATACTCACAAGGCTGCTTCCTTCTCTGCACATGGACAGGCAGCAGTGTCTTCCAGCCTCCCCATCCCAGCGACCTGCTAATCTCCTTCCTAGAGCAATTCTGCCTCTCTTATTAGACTGCGGGTAATTGAGGGCAGAAGACCGAGAAGGCTGACATAGAGCCTGGCACAGAGACGGCCACGCATATTTGTGGAAGGAAAGAAAGGAGGAAATGGCTGACTTTGCAGTCAAGTTCTCTATTACTCCTGTCTCCATTCACGCCTGCTTCCAACACTGCCCCCCAGCCCATACTCTGCGGTTCCAAAAGGGTGGCGGACTCTGCTACTTGCCCTGTCCTTCCTTCCACACAGATCCCCTAAACAGGGGGAACGTCAATGTTGCTGGCAGAAACAGGCATTGCCTTTCTTTGGTACGGCCATCTGACTAAGTTCTCACCAATGAGAAGTCAACAAAAGTCTCACACAGAACTGAGGGAACTTACGGAAGCCGGGAGGTACCCTTTTACCCTTCCTTTCTCCCTTTTACTGCCTGGAATACATAAAAACTGAAGACTGGAGCTCCAGCAGCCACCCCAGATGAAGAGGTGAAATGTTAAATGAAGCCACGCTCTGGGACGAGAGGAACAGAAGGACAGAAGAAACACGGGGGCCCCGCGAACATGCCACATGATTCCCAGGCTGCCCCATTCTATGGCGAAAACAACATTTTATCATTTTGAAATGACTTCTATTTTAGATTTTTACATTACGTGCAACCAAACTTAACTATCCTAAAAGGAAAACGTGAAACCAAGCAGCCTGTGGCTAGAATAATTCCAACAAAAAATGCCAGCCACCGTAACCCTGCACCTGTGGTCCCACAGTTCATACCAGGAAGTTCACAGCCGTGCCCAGGCAGGGCAAGACACATCTGAGCTACTCATGGTATCTGGGAAGAAAGCCCAAGACACAGGCTGGGGGCTCACCTTCCGGGAGTCCACCGGCTCCTTTAGCCCGTCGGGTCTTCAGCGTCGGTGGGGGTTCAAAGGTGCCCACCGTGCCCGCAGTGGCACTGGAGAGAGGGGCAGCAGGGTTTGGTCCTTTCGGTTTGAATCCCTGCTTGCCGGGGCTGTACACGGGGGGCGTGGGGTACACAGGGGCCTCCACACACTGGCTGGGCACCTGGAAGGACAGCACTGTGAGGAAAAGAGGCCTGGCTGCAGCCGGGGACTCTCACTGTGGCCCTGATCTGGGTCACTGCCCCTATGTCTCCACCCTTCCCTCTCTCCCTGGCTCCATCACCCCAGCAATGGTCAGGACTCCTTTGAGCTTCATGAAGCCAGCTGCCTAGGCCTCAAATACAGACCCTATCCTTTAGCACCCCAGTGACCTTGAGTTTCGATTTCTCTGTCTGTTTCCATCCCTGTAAAATGGGGCTAATCACTCTTGCGAGGTTGTTGCGGACTAAATGAAGTGATGCATACACAGCCTAGCACAGTGGGTGACACTCAGTACACACTCAATAAACACACAGGTGCTTAGTGCTGCTCACACTGCTATTAGCAGTGGTTTCCCAGCACAGCCTGGGCCTCATAGCTATTCCCCCTCCTCACTGACACCCCCAGATGCTGCCGCAGCAGGCGTCATGCAACTGGGAGGCAACCTGATGCCGCAAGAAAGCACAGGCAGAATTCTGAGGCACTCAAACCTAAGCAAGCCTAAGCTTAGAGAAGGACAGGGGTCCCCTGTGTGCAGAGCTCAAGGATTTCCCCTTCACAGGGCTCCCTGGGTCATCCTGTCCCAAACTCCACTTCCTAAGCTCCTGCTTATACTTATCAGCATCCAGAACAACATATCTTACCCAGTTATCTTGTCTCTTATCTGCTTAATTCCATGAGGGCAGGGAGCTTTTGCCGCTTCTGCTCACTACTTTATTTTACCCAGGCTGACAGCAGTTTTTGGCAGAGTGGGCACTCAGTAAATGTTTGCTGAATGAATGAATGTACAGCAGCACTCAGCTGGCAGCTGGTGTGGCACCCATACGTGCTCACTCTGGAGCCTGTCTGCCAGCCCCTGGCGTCATTCCCTCACCCTTTTGTGCTCACCCCGGAACGCTGGGGTGGGAAGCTCGCAACCCATTCCCTCGCCCACGTGGTTTACCCTGACAGGCCCTGTCCAGGAGAAGCTGCTGTGAGATGGAGATGCAGAGGGGAGTAGAAGGCTCCTCCTCTAGCAGCAGTACTGGGACACAGAGGGGGTTTGCAAGTCACAAGCTGTGGTGTGGCAGACGGGTGGTCAGTTGTGGGCCGCAGGGCAGTTTCAGCATCCACTGCAGTCCCAGTCTTTACCTCTGTGCTAAGCTACAGAGTGGACCTAAAAATCAGGGCCACTCACAAACCGTAGCTTAGCTTTTGTCCCCCTAGCCCTTCCCTCAGCTCCATAAGCACCCAACTTCCTGCACTAAATCCCTCCCCCGGAAATACCTAGCATGGTTTCTGTTTTCCTGATCAATCCCTGACCAACACAGCACTCAGGAAATATTTGTCACATCGCACAACAAAAGAAATCAGCAACAGAATAAAGAGACAACACACAGAATAGGAAACAAATTTTACCAGCTATTCCTCAAAGAACATCTAGAATATATAAAGAACTCAAAAAATGGGCTGCGGATTTAGCTCAGTGGTTCCGCCCCCGGCCTCGCAAGCGCAAGGACCCAAGTTCGATCCCCAGTACCAAAACAAAACAAGAACTCAAAAAAAGTAGACTGCCCAAATTTAAAGACCCAGTCCAAAAATAGGCATCTGAAATGAACAGACACTTCTCAGTTGAGGAAGTTCAAATAGCAAATGAATACATGAAAAAATGTTTAATGTCAATGGTCATCGGAGAAATGCAAATTAAAACAAAAGTGAGATTTCCATCCGGAAAGAATGGCTATTATCAAGAAATCAATCAATAACAAACGCTGGCAGGGCTATGGGGAAAAAGGAGCCCTTCTCCTTCATTAGTGCAACCAATATGGAAATCAGTATGGAGAGTCCTCAAACAACTAAAACTAGAGGTTCCACTTCACCCAGCTATACCTTTGTGGTATCTTCCTGGAAGAATGAAAGAACCATAGCACAGTGACACAGGCACACCCATGTTTACAGCAGCACAGTTTATAATAGCTACATCTTAGGAACAGCCCGGATGCCTATAGGTGGACGAGTGGATAAAGACGTGTTTTTTTTATACAACAGAGCACTGCTCTGCCATAAAAAGGATGAACTTCAGACCTTTATAGCTAAACGGATACACACTGATACCATACTCTTAAGTGAGATACGTCAGACACGTAGTTAAATACTGCATTGTGAGAAACCAAAAGTGGAAATAAGGACTGAAATATACAATGGATGTCGGGAAATAAGAAGAAAGTGTTCAAATGGGAAGGGGAACAAGGGGGAAGGGAGGGAGAAAGGAAGGGAGGGACAAGAAAAAAAGTGAAAGCAGAAGGAAAACATGGAAACAAAGCTTCTTTACATAGGACTTGAGTGGGGGAAAGGGATAAAATAAAATAAAATTTATTTAGAAAAACTAAAACTAGAGGTTTCATTTGACCCAGCTATTTCCCTTCTTGGTACCTTCTCAAAAGAGTTAAAAGCATCATACCACAGTGATATCTGCATACTCATGTTTATAGCAGCACACTTTGTAATAGCTAAATCTTGGAAACAGCCCATGTGCCCATCAACAGATGAATGGATAAAGAAAATGTGGTTTTTGTATACAATGGAGTACTACTCTGCCATAAAGGATAAACGTGAGATATGAAGGATATTTTTAGGTAAATGGATGTACCTTGAAACCACACTTTTTTTTTTTTGTTGTTTTTTTTGAGACAGGGTCTCACTATGTAGTTGAGACTGACCTGGAACCCACTATGTAGCCCAGGCTGGTCTTGAACTCACAGCGATCCTCCTGTCTCAGCCTCCTGAGTGCTGGAATTAAAGACTTGCACCATCACGCCTGGCTTGAAACCATACTTTTAAGTAAAATAAATTGGACACATGTTTAAATATCGAATTCTCTTCTGTGAGATATCCAAAGGGTAAATAAAGAGCAAAGTGGAAGACAGATATTGGAAAGTAGGAAGAAAACGTTCAAATGGGAAGAACAAAACAGGGGGAAGGAGAAGAAAAGGAAGGGAAAAGAATAAAAGGAAAAATGGAAACAAAGCTTTTATAAATAAGGAGGGGATATCATGTAAAGGTACAAGATCCCAATAATAAATGTAACTATTGTTTGCTTTAAATGTACCAGTAAACTTAACGGGGGAAAATGAGGGGAAGAAGGGTTGAAGGGAGGAGAAGTGAATGGGGAAAGAAGAAGAATCAAGATCTATCAGGAACAGGTACAAATTCCCTATGCTGTTGGGCCAGAGATTTAGCTCAGTGGCACCACGCCTGACTCAAAAGTATAAGGTGCTGAGTTCAATCCCTGCTAATGCCAAAAAAATTCCCTATGATGAATGTGACCAATATATATCAAAAGCGAACCGTAAATTAAATTTTTAAAAAAGAAATAATTGCCACATGAATGAATGCACTCATTATCTGAGGCACTCCTGAGTAAGTAGGTGGCTGCAAGTGGGTTAGGCTCATCTCCCTTAACATGTTTTTTCTTCTTTTCTTTTTCTGAGCTAAATCCCCGGCCTGTCCTCAACATCTCTGGCAAGGGAGCTCCCTCTCGCTTTCTCTCTCTCTCTTTATAGTACTGGGAACTGAACCCAGGGTCTTCACAACGAACTACACCCCCAGCCCATGCTGGGCTCATACTTGCAGTTCTCCCGCTTCAGCCTCCAAGAGTGCTGGGATGACAGGAGTTCCCACATTAAAGGAGAAGAAACTGATACCTACTGCTGGGTGCAGGGCGTGGTTGTGCACACCTGTAATCCCAGCACATGGGAGGCTGAGGAAGGAGGATTTCCGCAAAAAAAAAAAAAAAAAGCAGTGGAGTTCTCCCGGCTGTGTTAGGGCAGCTGGTTGGAGTGAGGGCTCCAGGGCTCCGGTCAAGCACAGTGGTGTCTCGAGCAGGCCCATGCGTGAGCAGCCGGCATCAATGGCAGTGACTTTCAGCACCAGGAGAACACTGTCATGCACTACCAAATGAGTGTGACCCTCAGGTGTGCAATTAAGAAGCTGATCTATGTGGATCTGGTCATATGGCTGCTGCTGGTTGCCAAGATGAGTATGGGACATCTGAGGCTCTTGTCACACAGTCAGGTGGCCATGCCTTATCAGTGGGAGAACCCATATCTGCTGAGCATTGTGCCCTCTCTCTTGGGTCTTCTCTCCTTCCCCTGCAACATTAGCTACCTGGTGCTCTCCATCGTCAGCAGGGCGCCCTTTCCAACGCTCCTCTCATTTACGGCAGCATGGAGATGCTTCCTATGGAACAGCAATGCCACCGCCACGGCAAGGCCTACCGCTTCCTCTTTGGCCTCTCTGCTATCTCCGTCATATGCCTGGTGTTGGTACTGGAATCCGAGTGCGTGCCTGGGCGTCGTACTACAGCCAGAAACTCCCAGACTCGGTTCACCATGACACAGGAGAAGAAACGTAAATGAAGTGTCCCCGATGAACTGCTCTGAGAGATGAAGCCTGGTCCTCCACTGAGTGGTAACAGGGGTAGAGGAACTGTTTTAAAACCTGGTGATTTGGGAAGCCGCTATGTTGGCACCTACTACTAGGCCCAAGTTTTGGCCTGGAGTTCTGTTGCCATTTACTGAAGTAGCAAAATTAAATTTATTCCTGATCGGCTAGATTTGACTGACCAACAGCTGTGAAACAAGACTTCAGTGGGGTGAAACTGAAGCTCTTCAGAATTTTTCCTTAAGTATGAGCCTTATCCTTGCCTCCTGTTGGTCATTCTCCCAACTTGGGAGACCTTAACCTCCAAGACTGCAAATTTTCCTTCCATTTGTAGGTCGCAGGGCGGGAAAAGTATGGAAAGCCGCTCCCCTTGCAAGTTCTGCTTTTTACTGCAAAACATTTTAATTAAGAATCTAAATAAAGTTAAGACTGCCCTGTCAAAAAAAAAAAAGCAAAAGTATCTACTGGGAGCTGGGGATTTAGCAGTGGTGCCACCACCTGCCCCGAAAGTGCAAAGTCCTGCATTCCATCCCTGGTACCAAAATAAAAACTTACTAGAGCTGGACGAGAGGTGGGCCACAGGCTGAGGACTTAGCTAGGTGCAAAGCCTGCAAAGCCAAATACACTCCTGACTGTGCCCTCTAAGAGCACTGTCATCTGCCTAGAGAACAAACAGCAGCAGCTGTCCCTCTGCTGGTCTCTCCCTATACCAGACCACCATCATGCTCTTAGCAACTGTTTTTTTTCTCTTAAATTCTTTTATTGGTATATTTTAGGTACACAATAGTTACATTCATCACTGGGAACTTGTACCTTTACATGATGCATCTTGCTTCTTTTTTGCCCATTCTCCTGTGCTTCCTTCAACCTCTCCGACCTCTCCCTATTTGCAAAAGCTTTGTTTCCATTTATTTCTTACAGAACTTTTTTTTTTTTTTGCGGTAGTCCTCAGAGAAGCTTGTTCTAGTCTTCCAGGCCAGGGCAGATCTCCTTGCGGGCTGTCACAATGTCACACACCTGGTGGCAGGAGTTCCCCCTTGTCTGGGCTCTCTTCACATACATGCACCTGTGTGGCTGAGTTCCAGGGAGAGTCTGGGGCCCTGTGACCTCACATGCAGGCAGGCTGCATCTGTCATAACCATCAACACTGGTGTCTGGAAAGTCCCATGGACTCCATGAACTCAGAGTAGACTGCCTGTGGCTCAGCTGGTCAGCAGGGAATTAGTATGGTGCATTGCCGTGGAATGGCCCAAAGTCTTCGTCCCTCTCTGTTATCTGCACCTCGGCAGTGTGATTTTTGTTTTTTTGTTTTGTTTTTTTGTTTGTTTGTTTGTTTTTGTTTTTTGAGACAGGGTCTCACTATGTAGTTGAGACTGACCTGGAATTCACTATGTAGCCCAGGCTGGTCTCGAACTCACAGTGATCCTCCTGCCTCAGTCTCCCGAGTGCTGGGATTACAGGCATGTGCCACCATGCCTGGCTCTGCAATGTGATTTTACAGCTCTTCACATTAAGAAAAGAGGGTATAGGGGCCAGGGATTTAGCTCAGTGGCACTGCTCCTGCCTTGTAAGCGCAAGGTCCCGAGTTCGATCCCCGGTACCAAAAAAAGAAAAGAAAAGAAAAAGAGTCTATGGGTCAGGGGTAGAGCACTTGCCTTGCGCACTCAAGATCCTAGGTTAGATCCCCAGTACTGTAAAACAAAGAAACAAAAAAACAAATGGCATCTATTCCCTACCCACTGAATGCAGGCTGACCTTGTGACCTGTGTTGGTCAATAAAAATGACACTGCACCACTTACAAGCCTCAAGCAGCCTCAAGCACTTCCGCGTGTATTTTGGCACGGACATCATGGCCATGAAAACATGCTGGACAAGGGCTATGTGGAGCAGAGCTGAGGCACCCCACCTGTCTGAGCCCAGGCACCTTAGAGCAGCTGACAGCCAGCTGACCTCTAGACACATGGGAGAGTCCAGCCAAGATCAGCAGAGGTGCCTAGCCAACCAGCACAGCATGTGAATGATAAACTCTTTGTTATATACCACTGAGGTCTTGTGAACAGTCCTTACATAGAAACAGCTAACTGATACACTTTACTTGTTAAACCATGTTAGAGATGGCTATGCTGATAATGGAGGACCTCTCCCAAAAGCAGGAATTCCCTGGGAGTTCTGACTTTCACCTGAGGGCAGCTTGTATTTCTGCTACAACCTCCACAGCGTCCCACATTCCTGTGATTTGCACTGTGCATCTGTAGTTGCAATGTTTTGATTATGGTTCTTCTTTCCCACGATGCAGCATGCTCCACAAGGTCTGGGGGTGCATCTGGTTTTGCTCCCCATGGTTTCCCCAGCACAGTGCCTCGCATACTGCTGCCACCCCTGCACAGTGCCACTCACCTCCAGGGGTGGGTAGGGCTGCATCCCCAGTGCCTGGATCTCCACCGTTCCACTCCCAGCCAGGGGCACACTGGCACTGTACACTTCCACCACGCCATTCCCACCAGGGTTGGGGCGCCTGGTGGGCCCCAGGCTCTGAGGGGGAGGGGGAGGAGGCTGGGGAGGTGGAGAGCGGCGGAGGCTGGGTGAGGTAGTTGGGCACTGAATGCATGTTCAGGCTGCTCTGAAATCACAAGAGAAAATCAAAACATTAGGGTCTCTGGCTCTCAGCTGTCTTACTCATCAGCAGGGAAGGACTTCTGCTTTAGCCAGCACATGGATAGGACAGCTACTCCTAGGGCAGCTCAGAGGACAGGGCTAAGAGCAGTAGGGAAACAGTCACAGGAGAATTCTGAGGGTGTCAGCTTCTCTACGAACATAAGCAAAACTGGCCCAGCTAGTGCACAGAAGGGTTAACAGAGGAGGCCTAAAGTTGTCATCACAAGAAGGGCTTGTCTGTAGGACTGGCTCTTGATTGGCATCTGAAAACTTGGCTTTGGAACATTCCCTTGGTTAATAAGGCTGTTTCACCCACCAGGGGCACTGAGCACTCTGTGCCAGCTCACTCGACTCTGTACCAAGAGTGTGCTTGATGGTGAGCTCCTCCTCCCCTCCGGGAGTCTAGGATTTTCGTCATGGTGGCTGGCTGCCTATATGTATTAGAAAATCCTCAAGGAGCCACTATATATTGTCTAATGGACATGGGATACCTTCATTAAGAATAAAAACAGAAGTCAAAATAGCCAGACTATGGCTGTGAAATGTTTAGTGGCAGCTTCCTCACTGCAGCAGGACTGGCCAAGGGCAAGGCTCACAGTCACCCTCAGCACAGGAGAGCTGCAGTCAAGTCCCCTTTTTCTCCGAGATCCTGGGTCTGTTGGACTCACTGCGCATGCCTATAAGTGAGACCCTTGGAGTTGTGCTAAGCATGCGCAAGGTCCTCAATCTGATCCCCAGCACTGCCAGAGAAAGAACACAGAAAGACTGGTGAAGCCTGGGGCCTCCTTACCTGCACGGGGGGCGGGGCCGGGGGCATGGGCTGGTCCAGGGATGTGAAGGCCGACATGGCAGACATAAGCACATCGTCGCTCACCAGGATGTTCCCCTGCACCAGGGTCTGGATCAGTGGGGACGGGGGCACTGTGATATACGTGGAGATCTGGACAGGGAGACAGAGAGTGATTAGACACACATGTGACTCTGTGAGGAAGCTGAGGGGCAATGCTAATTCCGGGCTCTGGAGTTCCCACCTCTCATGCTCTCTCCTGGGCCAATCGCTCCCCCGCCTGCGCTTCCACTTAATCATCTACCAACCTCAGAGTTCCACCTCTCTGAAAGACACACACAAGCCGGGCGTGGTGACGCACGACACTCGGGAGGCTGAAGCAGGAGGACTGCTGTGAGTTGGGCTACATATTGAGTTTGAGGCCAGCCTGAACTGCATAGCGAGACCCCGTCTCAAAAAAAAAAAAAGCACAGAAGAAGACACATACCCTAGTTTCTAAGAAAACACTCACATGTTTACAGGAAGTCCACAAATAAGACAATTCCACACAGTCTTGTTCCTAACAGTGAAAAACTATAAGCGAAATTAATAGGACACACATGGGTAAATACCGAATAGTTTCTCTGGTGTGAAAATCTGAAAGTGTAAATAAGGATCAAAATGTATAATTGATAATGTGTAATAGGAAGAAAAGGTCTAAAGGAGTAGGGTAAGTGGGAGGAGTAGGGGAAAGGTAAGAAGGGAAAAGAAAAGTATGAGAAAAGGAAGAACATAGAAACAAAGTCTTTGAAAATAGGGAAGGTGGAGGGGGCAGGAGGAATGAGGAAAAAACAAGAACCAAGATATGTTCTATAAAGGTACAAGACGCCGATGATGAATGTAACTGTACTGTACACCTACACTGTACCAATAAACTTAAAATTTTTTTTTAAAACTGTAAATAACCTAAATGTCTATCAACAGCGGAATGCATTAAAAATAATATAATATAATCATCAAAAAGAATACCATACAGCATGAAAAATCAAACTGCATAATAATATGTAGATTACACATTCTTATTTTTTAAAAAACCTAACTCTTTCCACCATCTTTTTGTTGTTGCTTTCCACCATGTTTTTATGCCGTGGTAATTGTGCACATGAATGTCCTGGGTGATGGTCTCAATTTTAGTATGGGTGCTGCCGAAGCGAGCACATGGCTGATGGTCTCAAGAGCACCAGCAAGGCTGAAAACAGGGAGAGGCCAGGTTCTTCTGAGGCCTGCTCCAAAGGGGTCATCTGGTTTCTTTCTAACTGTGATGGTGAAGCACAGCGACATCAGTGGATTAGAAATCACTAACGATCACAGGGCGGGAAAGATTGTTGGGAGCCTCACAGGAAGGTTACACAAGTGCAGAGTGATCAGCCCCAGGTTTGGTGTGCAGCTGAAAGCCTCAGAAAAATGACAGAATAATCTGCTCCCAACCTGTCAGTTTGGTTTCACTGTACTGACAACCTCAGCTGGCACCATGGACCATGAAGAAAAGAGATGAAAACACACGGGAGAGAAAATCCTGGGATTCTTTTTCTAGGGATGTAAAACATACATACAAATAAAATGCCTCAACAGACAAGAAATTAATAAAACAAAAAACTAAAACGATAGTGTAATTCCTACAGTCACTGAAGTAAATATATTTCAAAGTATCTGATAAAGGATAGCCATCCACAGTTACCTAGGGGAAGGGGAGAGAAACAGCACCAAAGAAGCCTTGATTTGTAACTTTCTAACTTTTAAAAAAGAGAAGGGAAGCCTGTATTACTGGTAAATGTACAAATTAACAAAAATAATATATCAGGGCCAGGCAGGGTGGCACACACGTGTAATCTGAGCACACTGGATGAGGCAGGATTAAAAATTCAAGCTCAGCCTGGCAATTTAGTGAGACACTATCTCAAAATAAAAAATAAAAAAGCGGGCCAGGGATTTAGCTCAGTGGCACTGCGCCTGCCTCACAAGCACAGGGTCCTGAGTTTGATCCCTGATACCGCAAAATAAATAAATTTTATATATA